GTCTGCCCTTCCGAAGTGTTCGTGTGCACGTGGCCCTGCTGCCCCCGACACTGCATCCTAAATCAATCCGATTTGAACCTGGCAAGATAGGTCAGACGGATCAGAGTTCCGCCAAGCGCGTCCGGCGCCTGGAGCATCTGTTACGATCGGATGTCTGCACTTTGTGCACAGGCTGAAACACGGCTAGCAGGGGCACTGTCCGATGCATGGCTTCAGCACCAGCAGCCCTGCTTTCAGAAAGCTTCAAATGGCGTGAAACGAGATAGTTATAAACCGAAATGCGCTTGCATTCTAGTCACCGCGCCCCCTTGCGCTCGGCCTTGCGAGACGCTGAGGCGCGACCCCAAGAGCTCAGCTGCGTTTCTCGAAGGCAGCGAGGCGGGCCTCCATGTCCTTGAGATCGGGATCTGCCTTCATCTCCTTGTTGCTGTAGCCGAACTCAGTACGGAGCTTGGCCTTATACACCTCAATGTCGCCCTGGAGCTGTGCAAACTCCTTTTGCTCTTCTGCACTCAGCGGAGTCTTCTTCTTGGAGTCCTTTTTAGCGTCCTTCTCCTTCTTGGAACTGCCGGGGTCCTGCTTCTCCTTCAGCTCGTTCAGGCGATTGACCATCGCCACGATCTTCTCGTTTTTGTTGATCTGGCCACCGCTCATGCCCTGCTCTTTCAGGATCGCCTTCTCCTGCACAACATGAAGACGAAACACAGCTGGAGCTTGCTTACAAGATACTACAAACAAATCATGAGCTTTCTAAATTGAACCCCCCTTTTCCTCAACGATCTGCTGCTTCAAGTTCTCCAGCTCCTTCAGCTCATCAGGGCTCAGCCCTGCGCTCTCTGCCTTCTCCTTCTTCTTGTGCTCCTTCTTGGCTTTCTCTGGGGCTGCCTCCTGAACGGTCTCTGGCAAATCGATCTTCGGAAGCTCTGCCTCCTTGGTAATGAAGTGCCCGAACTTAGGCTCGAGCCCCTTGACTACCTTGCAGGCATCTACATATTTGTGCTCGTTCTTCAAATCTGCGACCTCCTTGCCTTTGGCGGACCTCTCCTTCTTGTTGTCTTTGCCTGTCAGCTGGGTGGCTTCCATCTCCAGCTTGGCAACCTTCGCCTCCACCTCTTTCCTGTACGCCTCCGCGCCGGCTGTGTCATACTCTGCGCCGGTTGCGACTGTAGCCTGCAGCAACTTCATGCCCTGCTCGGCCTGCAGATCCATAACATTACCCTTGACTCGTTCGACAGCGGCCATGGCGTGCTGTGAGGGAAAGATGGGGGGCGAGTCGGAACGTTGAGGCCTCTTGGGGACAAAAACTTCGCGGCTTCCCGTTTCAACACGCAA